CCCAAGATCGAACTCGGGTCCTTGTGCTTGTGAGGCAGATGGTGGAACCACTGAGCTAAATCCCCAGGCCCCCTCTTGATTTTTAACATTGCTTTTTTTTTTTCATTTCAGAGAAATACTTTTTACTAATGTTTACTTTTACATTCATCCTATAGCTATTCCAATTCTTTCAATTTAAACATATGTGACAGGCCTCATTTTCTTGATTTTTACCTTTGAGTTTTTATACATTCCTTAGGTATCTCACTCCTTCTCCCACATTGCTCTCTCAAGGTGAAACTATTCCTTATATATCTGCCAGCTTGTGTGTAATTGTTCATCAGTAGAGTAACTTCCCATGCCAGAAATATCCCTTTGATTCTCCAGACTTCTGATTCTCACTGTAATTCTATAAACTAGTGTACAGGTCCCAGTTTGCAGAGTTACAAAATACACATGCATGTGTGTGCATTTAGTAAGTGTGTATCCGTGTTGTACATATGTGTGTATATATGTGCATATGCATGTGTGTATGTTTAAGGTTGTCAACTAGTATTTCATAGGAGGATTGTTGTTCTGAGACTTTGCTCTCAGTGGCCTAAAAGAACAAAATAAAAGCATTGCCACCCTGTGTTTGTCCCCAGCATCTGAAACTTACCTAACTTGTAAACTCTAAAATATGAGCAGAGAGAGAGAAATGAAAACAAACCAAGCCAGCTGTGTGGGATGAACTTGTGGTCCCACCTACTTGTGAGTCTGAGGCCAGTAGTTCAAGGCTCTCCCTGGGCAATTTAGTGAGACTGTCCCCCCAGCTCATTTTTTAAAAATAAGTAAACAAGTGCTGGGGATTTAGCTCAGTGGTTCCACCACCTGCCTTGCAAGTTCAGGGACCCAAGTTCAATCCCTGGTACAAAAAATAAATAATAAAAATAAATAAACAAAATGTGGGGTCCACTACTTTGTCACATGATACTACTTCTCTGGTATTGGTTTAGTAATAGTGTTTTGTGTTCTGAAAAGTATACAGTAGAGTCATAGCTTCATGTGGGGTTAAGTTTTCAACATTAATATGTAATGTAAACACAGCATTTGGTTAGAATTAACCGTTTTCCCCTCTTCCCCTTTGCACATTACTCAGGAAGGGCTTGCACAATGGTGAAAATCCATCTTCACTGTTTCCTGCCCTCTTACACTGACTGGATGGAGCAAATCACTGTTTCTTTGCATAAAAAGAAACAGCCTTTATTTAAGAGCCATGTTTAATAAAGTGCATTTAACCATCTGAATTCAGTTGCATTGGGAAGCGTGTGAGAATGCAGCCAAATGAGGACAGAGATCCTCATTATGCATTCCAAGCCTTCTCTGAAGCTTCTTCTGGCTCTGAGGGGTAGGATAGCCAGTTGGGAGCCAGTGTCCTTAGTGCCATTTTCTCTCTACTCTCCTTCCTCCTCCTTGTTCTCCTCCTTCCTGCCCCAATCTCTCTGCCATCCCCCTATGACTGCCCCACCAAAAAAAACTCGGTGGGTGCATGTTAGAAGTCAGCTTAGAGAAAGAAAGTTTAGTTGACTTTTGAGTCAATCCAAATACTCAGAATGAGACTTAGGGGCCAGGGATTTAGCTCAGTGGCACTGTACCTGCCTTGTAAGTACAAGGTCTTAAGTTTGATCCCCGATACCAAAAAAAAAAAAAGAGGGACTTAGACTGAGCTAACATATGTGTTAGTACAGTAGTACCACAATACTTTTTAAACTACTTATGCCAAACTTTTACAGAATCTCTAGGATACATGTAGCATTGTACATCTGTGACTTAAGGAGTTAGGTAGTTACCAGTGAGAACCAAAGGGTTCTCTGTAAGATATGACCTGAATAATGGATCTACACCAGTGCTTTGTTTTATTTTGTCACTCTTCTACTATTTTTAAATGTTTCATATGTTTAAATGAATTATAGACTCAATAGAAGTTGCAAATATAGCCAACTCTGTGCCCACCACCCAGCTTCTCCTAGTAGTAACATCTTATGTAACTAGCCGGGTGTGGTGGCACACGCCTGTAATTCCAGCACTTGGGAGGCTGAGGCAGGAGGATCGCTGTGAGTTGGAGACCAGCCTGGGGTTCATAGTGAGTTCCAGGTCAGTCTCAACTATGTAGTGAGACCCTGTCTCAAAAAACAAACAAACAAAAAACAACAAAAAGATCTTACATAACTATAGTCATCAAAACCAGGGAATTGACATTGGCAGCACACATCCAACTAGACAACAGTCCTCACTTGGGTTTCAGCAGTTTTTGCAAGTACTCATTTTCATATATTATATGTATTGTGTATCATATGACACTAAAAAATAATCTTAGCTGGATGTGGTGGTGCATGCCTATATTCCAAGCACTCTTGGAAATTGAGGCAGGAGGATTCCAAGTTTGAGCCCACCCTGGACAATTTGACCGTTTAGTGAGACTATCCCAAAGAAAGAATAAATTTAAAGGGCTGGGAATATAGCTCAGTGTAAAAGCCCTGGGCTTAATTCTCAGTACCTCAAAAGTATTTAAGAATAATTTTAGATTTATAGAAAAGTTGGAAAGAGAATGTGGAGAATTCTCATACTGTCCTTCCCCTCTTCCCCTTGTTAACCTTACCTTCCCGTAGTACATTTGTTGTTGCTAAGAAACCAACATTGGTACACTACAATTAATTAGATCCATAGTTTATTTGGATTTTACTAGTTTCTCCTAATGTCCTTTTTCAGTTTCTGGTTCCCATCCTGAATGCCACAGCTAATTTAATCATTGAGTCTCATCTAGACATTTTCTTCAAAATTTCCTTCTTTTTGATAATCTTGACTCTGAAGAACACTGGTTACTTATTTTGTTTTTGGTACAGGGATCGAACTCGGGTCCTTGCGCATACAAGGCAGGCTGCAGAACCTCTGAGCTAAATCCCCAGCCCTGGTTACTTATTTTTGAAGACTATCCATCAATTTGTGTTTGACATTTTCCTCGTGTCTTGGCTGGGTTACAGGCTTTGAAAGAAAGGCCACAAAGGTGAAATAGGGGCCTAAGCCATCAACATGATCCTCACTATTGAGTGGGCTGTCACATGGGTGAGGTTATGCCAGGCAGTTTTCCATTGAACCTTATACCCCTTTTTGTTCTCTGAAGCAAGTTACCAGGTAGTTTATATTCAAGGTGTGGGGAGATTTTAACCTCCTGCAGGCAGTATATCTATAGAAATGATTTGAATTCTTCTAACAGGTATTTCTAAATTTTATGCAAACAGCATGAATACTGAATCAGCTAATGTATCTGTTCTTTGCAGGGTGGGAAACCCCGTAAACACCGGAAGGATCGGCTACAAGATTTAATTGATATAGGCTTTGGCTATGATGAGACAGATCCATTTATTGATAACTCAGAGGCTGTGAGTAATGTACCTTTAATACAGCAGAAAATTATCTATTTGGAATAGTAAAAGTCCATGGCAAAGTAACTTACATAGTTTAATGAATGTTTTTATTTGAGCTTTTTAAATATTTGTGGTTTAAAAATAAAATATTGTCATGTGGGGTTGGTTTATTGTGAGTCTTTATGGTACTACTGTATGTACTAGACTAGGTTTTAGCACTTCTTTTTCCCTATATAGGGCTGCATGGTAAATATTACAGGCTTTGTGGGCCATATAGTCCCCATTATGGCTACTCTACCATTGTAGGATGAGAATAGCCATAAACGATACATAAATGAATGGCTGTGGCAGTGTTATAGTGAAACTTTATTGATGGACTCTGAAATTGAAATTCATGATTTTGGGATGTTTTTTTGTTTAGTTTTGTTTTTTTTGTGTGCTGGGGATTGAACCCAGGGTCATTCACATGCTAGGCAGGCACTCTACCCTGAGCCACACCTCCCAAACCCCAAATTCATCTGTTATAAAATAGTCATCTTTGGAGTTTCTTCCCTGACCATTTATGAAATGCAGCATCCAGTTCTAACTGGCTGGATTCAGACAAGCTGGCAGCTGAACTTGGCTGGCAAGCATGGTTTATGAGCCTTGTACTGAACCATTCTTTAGGGTCTGCTGTGTGCCCTTCCAGGTCCTGAGAAAATCTGGAGCTTCATTAGTAGTTTGCTCATTTTCAGAACTGTGTAGTTGTGAGTAATTCCATTATCATCCCTTGCCCATACAGAGAACAAAAATAAGTTTTAAAAAGAAGGGAAAATAGAAAAATTTCTAGCCAAATGTTAAAAAGCATTGCATTACTACTGGTTCTACGGGGTGAAAAATAACAAAGTTTATTTTAACTCAGACCTATTGAGTAAGAATTTCTGGAGATGAGGCTTAAAGAAGAGATTTTTGGTGGGGGTCTTATTATTTTTTTAATATAAAATCAATACATACTTACGGTAAAATAACATGGCTGTGAAGAGAGCAAAAGTACCCCAAATGCTTTCCCTCCCAAGAGGTAAAATTAAGCAGCTTGTGTAGTTGTCTAGAAATTTCCATGTAAACGTATGACCTTTATTTTCTTTTAAAAATTACCAAATGAGATTATATTATTATATTTTAAGACTGTTTTTCTATTAAAATACAACATACTTTAGAAATATTTACGTATTAGCACATAGATATATTCCATTTAAATAGTTATTAGGGAGGGATGTACATCTAAATTGTTTCCAGTGCTATGTGTTTACAAGTAGTTGAGCATTTTGTTTGCATTTATCTATTTAAGTAAATGTGTATACAGAATATTTATGGAGCACAAACATGGGTAGGATAAATTTCTAGGAGTAGAATTTATTGGTCAGAGAACATTTACATCTTGGATTTTTATTAATATTTCCAGAGTTGGGCAGTTTTGTTTTTTATTTTAGTACCAGGGATTGAACTCAGGACCTTGCACTTGCAAGGCAGGTGGAGGCACCACTGAACTAAATCCCTGGCCTCAGGGCAGATGTATTTTAAAATGACTTCCAAGATTAGAACCACAGAATCTGGGTTTTTTTTTTTTTTTTTTTTTGAGGCGGGGGTCTCACTGTGTAGTTGAGACTGACCTGGAACTCACTATGTAGCCCAGGCTGATCTTGAACTCACAGTGATCTTCCTGCCTCAGCCTCCCGATGCTGGGATTACAGGCATGAGCCACCACGTCCGCCTCGGAGAGTCTTGAACATTGGAGCTACTGGGTTGAGGTGAATCTGGAGGATATGTATAAAATACTGTTAATTTCTAAATTGCTGCATGCCTTAATACAATGGCAGATTATTAAGTATCCCTTATCATTCAGATTTGATCAAATCCTACAGCTCTTCCCTTGGAATCTTCTTTCTCTTTAAAAAGAAAGTAGAGAAACTTCCTGTTCCCCAAAAGGTTGCCAGCCCATGGTTTGGATCAGGGGATGTTTTAGAGTCTTGACTGTGATTTGGAACTCAGTGCAGGAATCCTAGATCAGTGATGGTGAACCCTTTAGAGCTTTCAGTGAAAACAAATAGCCGGCTGCAGGACGTGTGCCTTAGGTTCGCCACCACTGCTAGACTCTAATTCTACATTGGTTTCTAATTCACCATGTGACCTGGACCAAGTCTTTTAGCATCTCTAGTTTGCTCTGCTGTGCCTTATCTCCCAGAGCTGTTCTGAGCCTCAGATAAGATAAGAATGTAAACATGCTGGAGACCATAAAGCAGTTTAAAAAGAACCAGGAGTTGATATAGTGTTGATATTATATGTAGATTTTGAATTCTGAGAAGCTAAAACAGAACTAAGTCATGGGCATTGCATGTACTCATACTTACAAAAATAGGTTTTTGAATAAACCTTAGCCGGGTGGTTCACGCCTATAACCCTAGCACCTTGGGGCAGGAGGATCGCAAGAGCAAGTCTAGTTTGGGCAACTTAGTGACTTAGCAACACCCTGTCTCAGGAGATAAAAGTGCTAGGGATTTAGCTCAGGGTGAAGCAAAACAAAGCAAAACAAATCCTGCTTTGTTTTAAAGCAATTTTAGAATCACAGCAAAATAGAGCAGAAAGTACAGAGGGCTTGCATATACTCCCGCCCCTGCCATACAGCCTCCTTTACCATGGACATCGGCTACCACAGCAACACCTTTACTACAGCTGATGAACTGCATTGAGACAGTGTTGTACTGAGTCCATAGTTTTCATTAGGGCTCCCTCTTGATGGTGTGCGTTCTGCAGTTTTGTAAAATGCATTAATGTCTCCTATCTACCACATACCATATAGCATAGTTTATCTTCTTTAAAAATCCTGCCTACTTATTCCTCCCTCCTTATCCCAGCCCTGGCAACCACTGATTTTAACTATCTTCATAGTTTTGCCTTTTCCACAATGTCTTATATTTGAAGTCATATAGTATGTGCCCTTCATAAATAGCATTTTAAATACCTGTTTTTAGCATTTAGAATATTTTAACAAGCTGCGTTTTGGCCTACTTTTGTAACCCTATAATTGGATTTTGTATCAATTTAGAAGGGATGGCTAGTATTTTTAAAGAAAATGAGATCAACGAGAATAGGAGCTATTATAGAGTATATCATTTTTATTGCTTGTATGTGTGCTAAGTTTTGATGTGTAATGTGTTCTACACTTAGGTTGTAGTAAAGAAAATTTGAAAGCTACTACTGTAATAAGGATAAATTTTGTAGATACAAATTGTTAACAGTTACTAACACTTGTAGGTGGAAATAGTGACACACACCTGTAATCCCGGCACTGAAAGGCAGAAGCAAGAGGATCACCCCAAGTTCAAGTATAGCCTGAACTACCTAGTGAGACTATCTCAAATAAAACAAAAACAAAAATTACTCTTACATTTTTATGACAGTAAAGGTTTCTGTTTCAGCCAGGCGTGGTGGCACACGCCTGTAATCACAGCACACTGCCTCCAGCTGAGGCAGGAGCATCGCTGTGAGTTTGAGACCAGCCTGGGCTACATAGTGAGTTCCAGGTCAGTTTCAACTACATAGTGAGACCCTGTCTCAAAAAACAAACAAACAAGAATATCCTTGTTTCATAAGAGAAAATAGAATTAAAATGTAGGTTGTTTGTCTTTATAAGTAATTTAGAATTGTTGCCCTTAACAAATTAATTTTAATCATTTTTCTAATATACACATTTTTAATGCATATTTTACAAAATCCTGGGTTTTGTGGTGGTACTTTCATACATGTGTATAACATAATGATTGTGTCTATTGCTCCTGTCACTCTCCTGATACCTTTCCTCTTATCTAACAGTCTCCCTTCTACTTTCATGTCTTTTTTTGTTTTTTCTGGATTCCATATATGAGGGGAAGTATGTGATACTATCATGCTTATTTTGCTTAACCTGATGGTCTCCAGTTGCAGATGACATGATTTCACTTTTCTTTGTGTCTGGATAGTAGTGCTCACTTTATTCGCAAGCACACATCCCCTTTATGTGTTTGACACCTGGGCTGAGGCCATATTTTGACTATTAAAAATAGTGCCGCAGAAAACATGATATGCAGGTGTTTCTATGGTATGCTAACTTTAATTCCATAGGGTATATATCAAGGAGAAGAATTACAAATGGCCAGTAATGGTGTGCAAAAAATTAGCTATTGGGAAATGCAAATCAAAGCTCTTTTATTCTTTTTATATGATAAGCCAGACGCACAATTATAATTCAGTCAAGTGGTTGCTTATTCTTATTGATTGTATTGTTAGCTTTCCACGTTTGTAATTATTTCAGAGAGAAAATTATGTGATCCCAGTTTTCAGAATCATGTGCCACCAATTACTAAAAATACCTGAAAATGCTTTGAAGATTATTTTACACTTCACATTTAAATTATAAATGGATGGCTTTTTTTTTTTTTTTTTGTTTTTTTTTTTTTTTTTTTTTTTTTTTTGTCCTGAGAATCAAACTCAGGGCTTCATGCTTGCCAGCCAGGCACTGTGCCACTGAGCTACATCCCGGGCCCAGAATTTTCTTTATTACTAATAAACACCAGGCATGAACACTAAATTGTCCCTTTTAAATTTCACTTGCACTTTGTATCCTGCTTTTCTCTCTCTCTCTCAGTACTGACCATCAAACTCAAGACCTTGCGCTTGCAAGGCAGGCATATTGTCACCTAGCTAAATCCCTGGCCCCTCACTTGCAGTTTGTGAAATACTACTGTCCCTGTTTTATAACCTTAACTGCTGTTAAGTGATTTGGCTGGACTGCCATAGCTAGTTGTTGGCAAAGGGGCTCAATCAAGACCCTCTGGTTTTTAAGTTCATTGCCACTTAACACATTCTATTTTAGGGGCTAAATGAGATATTCCTAAAAAATTTATTCTTCTAAAGAGTGTTATGTTAGAGAAAGCCCAACAGAGTGCTGTGTAAGATGACAGACTTTGAGCACATCAAGATCACCCTGAATTCCTGGTAATGAATGTGTTTCATGAAGAAACTGCTTGTTGTAGTGAATGGGTCGAAAGACATCCTATGACTTTGCCATAAACAAATTAAATTGCTTTGGTAGGGTGCTTATAAAATGGGACTGATGTTTTCTTTCCTTGTCTCACAAGGGTATCATGAGGATCAGATGAACCATTTATATGAAAATAATGAAAACTAGAAAGCATTGTACTAGTATATGTAAACAAAGTATATTTATATTTATCTTACCATATTTACATATTTTCAAAATAATGCAGTATTTTCCCTATTAATCCTTCTGACACCTCTCCTTTACTTACAGATAGTATTGGCTCTTTTCAGTAAGATCTTCAGAGATCTTTACAGTAATTTACCATAAGGAACCGCAAGGAAGTAGTTTCTTCCTCTTTTTATCAGTACACTTTTTTTTTTTTGGTTTTTTAAGACAGGGTCTCTCTATGTAGTTCAGACTGCTGTGGAACTCACTGTGTAGCCCAGGCTGGTCTTGAACTCATAGCGATCCTCCTGCCTCAGCTGACTGAGTGCTGGGATTACAGGCGTGCACCACCACACCCGGCTTCTTCCTCTTTTTTCTTCCCTCATTTCGTTTCTTGTTGATTCAACAAGAGTAAATTGGGTTCTCTTTCTCTTATGCTCCATACAATATAAAGGGATTCCAGTTAATATCACGACTTTTTATACTTGGTATTCTTATAGTAAGTAGTAGGATAGATATATTCCTTGCATGGTAAAGAATATTTTCTTTAAAAAATGAAAAACATAAACCTCTCTAACCTAAATCTAGATTTATAATATGAAGAACTCCAGAAGAGGGGGGAGAGGGTTGGGAGCCCAGGTCACAGGTATCTTTGCAGTGTTAGAAGTAGTCCCTTTTATTCATTCCCATGTGAACACTTTCATGTAGTTAATTTTGCCTTCATTTAATGTTGACTTTTTGTTCATCTTCCAGGTGAGATCATGATAAATCTTAAAATCCAGACTTTTGGGATATAGTTTGATTTAGACAGTTTGAGTCTTTTCTTTCCTGTAGGGTGCCTGACTCATTCTAGATCCTCAAATATATGCTTACTGAAATAGGCATGTATTTTTCTATTTCCCCTTAAAATACAATGTCATTTTTATTTTAAGCATTTAAACATTCATCCCCATTTAAAGTATAGAATTAAGATAGAGAAAATAATTTTGTTATTCTTCATACTCTCATGATTAAAAACTACATATTGATCTGGTAGGAGATGAAATCTGTCATGTTTTAACTTGTTTCCACTTGGCATCGGAACTGTTTGTCACTTAGAACGATAGCCCTGGCTGGACCTGTTGGTGCATACCTGTAATCCAACCACTTGAGAGATTGAGGCTAGGAAATCACAAGTTCAAGGCCAGCCTAGGCTAAGTAGTGAGTTCCAACCTAATCAGCACTATCTAGTGAGTTCCTGTCTCACCAAAAAAGAGAATGGAGTGAAAATAAATAGCAATGAAAAGAGTAATAATGGAGATGATCCTTAACTTTTTCTCGGCAGATGATGTATTTAGAATTTACTTCATTATTCCAGAAATTACCCCCCCCTTACCAGGGATCAAACTCAGGACCTTGTGCCTGCAAGGAAGGCATTGGAACCACTGAGCTAAATCCCTGGCCCTTAGGCAAGCTTCCCCCCACCCCCGCCACACCTGGGATTGAACTCAAGACCTTGCACTTGCAGGCGCAGTGCCACTGAGCTAAATTCCTGGTCCCAGAAATTACTTTCTTTGCGGGGAGAGTAATACTAGAGTTTAAACCTAGAGCCTATGCACTGAGTTACATCTCCAGCCCTTTAACCATTTAACAATTTAACCTGAGTGTTGCTCAGGCAGGTATCATTTCAACCAGTCATTTCTTGTTTGCACAAGATGTACTCTGTTGTTTTTGTTTTTGAGACAGGGTCTATAATGGTATGCAGTTCAGGTTGGCCTTGAACTCACTATGGAGCTCAGACTGGCTTGGGTCTTATGGCCCTCAGCCTTCCAAGTGCTGGGATTACAGGCATGTGCTGCTATGCCCAGCTGTGTATTATTTTATATCAACTATTTTCACACTTTTTAAATTTAGAATATTGTATTTGCCTTTGATGTTCGTTTCTAGTGAAATCTAATAAGTTCTGGTTATTTTCTTTTACTAATTCATGTTTATTTTATTTGTGAAAAATAACAATTTTGTGCAATAATCTATAAAACTCTTACTGTAAGTACATTAGATATAATTTTTATACTTCTCCATAACTCAGTGATATTCCTTTACAATACAAAACAAACACATTTGGGACACTGAGGGTGAATAGAAAGGAAGTGCCAAAAGATCTACAAAAGAAAAAACTGAAAAAGAGGTAAATGTTAGCATATCGGAGAAGAAAAGTCTGTGTTATGAAATGGAAACACAAAAAAGATTCTCCTTATTGTCAACTATTCATAATACAGAAATAATACAACTTGAAAAGAACAAACTAAAAACATTCCAGTAGTGATTAAAGATTATAATAATTCTTTGGTGTTGACAAGAGTTGACCAACATCTAATAAGCTAGCCTGTAATCAAAAAAAGCAAGAAAAAAATATTACTATAAAATGTTTTTGTATCTTCTGAATAAACAGTATAGAACTTGTTTGTTATTTATGTAAAACAAGGGGTTCAAAAAGTCATTTACAATTAAGATTAGGTCTAATAGAACAAAGAATTGAAAAATATGGGATAGGGAAATGCTGACCAGGATGTCTATTGTTGATGTCTTCACTGTTACACTTAGTGGGTGGACATTTTATTGAATTTATACCACCCACAGAGAAAAAAAAAGCCAACACAATAGTGTAAAGTGTGTTGCTCAAAGAAAGACACCAATGCAAAATATTTTGAGACTAAATACTACTCCCCAGAGTGTAACATTGCATTGTGTATTGAATGTTTTAAGATATTCCATACACAGAAAAATCAAAGTAAATTTGATAAAATTTGTTTTCATATTTCCCGTTATCTTACAAAATTAACAAAAATACACAAGTTTTTTTTTTTTTTTTTTTTTGGTACCGGGGATCAAACTCGGGTCCTTGCACTTGCGAGGCAGGCCACCGAACCGCTGAGCTAAATCCCTGGCCCCAAGTTTTGATCATCTTGTATTTAAATAATTGAACTGGTAAGTGGTTAAAAAAATAATTTTGAAACAGTCTCTCAAAGTTGCTAGCTATGTTGCCTGGGCTGGGCTCAAACTTGTGATTCTCCTGCCTTGGTTTCCCAGAGTTCTGGAATTACAAGTATGTGCTACCATGTCTGCAGGTTTTTTTCTTTTAATATATTTAAATTGTGTACTAATTTATTTCTTTCAGTACTGAGAATTGAATCCTGAGCCTTGCTTGTGCTAGGCAAGTGCTCTAGTGCTGAGCTACATTCCTGGCTTTTTTAAAAGAAATTCCTTTCTCATCAATACCAAATAATCAGAACTGATTTTTATTCCAGATATTAACTTTTTCTAAATTTATCCTGTGAACATCCTCATTGCTCTTTTTTTCTTGTATTTAGTTTTATTTTTAGTGCTGCTCTGTTTTTTTGTTTGGTTTTGTTTGGTTTGGTACCAGGGATCAAACTCAGGACCTTGTGCTTGCAAAGCAGGCAGTGGAACCACTGAGCTAAATCCCCAGCCCTTAGTTTATTTTTAATTAAAAATAATTGTACATATTTATGTGATACACTGTAATACTTTGATATATGTATATACATTTTACAGTGATTAGTATATATGTCACCTCAAAGAAAGTTTTCTTTCTTTTGGTGAGAACATTTAAAATTCTCTTTTTAGCTATTTTGAAATATACCTTATTATTAACTCTAGTCCCCTCCTGTGCATCAGAACTTGTTTTTTGTTTTTGGTACCAGAGATTGAACTCGGAATCTTGCCAGAACTTATTTTTTGAGCCCATTAATGAGCATCTCCCTTCTCCCCTCTGCTTCTCCTCCCAAGCTTCTGGTGTCTGTCTACCTTTTTGTTCTCTACTACTAAAAGCTCAACATTCTTAGATTCCACCATAAAGGAGGTCAGATGGTGTTTGCCTCTCTGCCTGGCTTATTTCATTTAACACTGTCTTCTAGGTTCAGCTGTGTCATTGCAAATGACAGAATTTCCTGATTTTAGAGGCTGGATAGCATTGCATTGTGTAGACATAACCACATTTTACAAATACTTATCGGTGGGCACTCAAGTTGTGTCCATATCTTGGCTGTTGTGAGTAAGGTTGCAGTGAAAACAGGAGTGCAGTGTGTATGTTTTACATTCCTCTGAGTCTGTACCAGGAGTGGGATTGCTGGATTTGCAGTTTTATAGTTAGTATTTAAAGAAGATGATGCTCTTGTGGGTGAATTTCTTTGACATATTTGTAGAATTACAGATAGTAGGATATATCTGAAACTTTTTTTTTAAAATATAGTATGATGAATTAGTTCCTGCTTCTCTAACAACAAAATATGGAGGCTTTTATATCAACACTGGCACTCTGCAGTTTCGTCAAGCTTCAGACACTGAAGAGGAAGATATGACAGACAATCAGAAGCACAAGCCACCCAAGGTGGGTTTATCTGATTTTACAATAGTAAAGAGAGCACTGAATTAATAAGATATACATTTTGAATGTTACTTGTGCCACAATTGTGAGTGGAAGGAAAAGTAAAATATTAACCATTGTTTAATCTATAATTACATGCTTTAAAATGAAATGCAGATATAGGAAAACTGACATTTATATAATTGTAGAATTATATTTTTTAGTATATTTCTCTTCAGATGTGGTCTAATAGTCTGCTGCTAGTCTGTCTGGTGTAAGGTTAAGAAATTAATAGTATCTTTATGCAAAGACATGGGGTGCAAAGACTTCCTAGCACCAGAATCCCTAAAGTGTGTATTCAAAATTCAGAGGGCCTCACCCCATATAAGTGAATCAAAACTCTAGGTGAGAGTGCTCAGGGACACCAGGAACCTGGACTGGACTTTTAGCAAGTAATTCTAATGGACCTGGACACTTGAGAAAAGGTTGAAAGCATCAAACAGGCATACTCCTATAAATGATGCATTTTAAAAAATATGTATTTTACAGCTTCCCAAAATAAAAGAAGATGATACTGAGATGAAGAAGCGGAAACGGAAAGAGGAAGGGGAAAAGGAGAAGAAGCCAAGGAAGAAAGTATCCAAGCAGCTGGGGTATGTTACATTTAACCTAGTAAGGGAAGTATTGTCACAGTATCACCGTTTCTCCTTTCATATATTCACCAGTTTCCTATATTCACCACTAATTAATTTAACTTAGCTGGGTCTAATTTAATATAATGTTTATAAATATTAACAGCCTGTTAACTTACTTTTAATATTATGATATATATTAATAAATAGAAGGCTCTGTCATCTCACTCCAAAAAGAATAGCTTTCTTCAAGAAATCACATAACACCCCCCAGGTGTGGTGCGCATGCCTCTAATCTCAGCACACAGGAGGCTGAGGCAGGAGGATCACCATGAGACCTAGACCAACTTGATCTCCATAGTGAGTTCAAGGCCTGGTGGAGAGTGATCAATACTCTGACTGCCTAGAAAGGGGGACAGCGAGGACTGAAGAAAAAAAGACAATAAAGACTTGCACAATTTCAGAATGTATGGGGGCCAGGTGGTCCCAGGAGTGCGTCAGAGTAGACAAAGACACTTTGAGCTTGCCACTAATTATTGGGTTCATAGGGAGAGTAAGATGACTTAGAGGGCAGTGATAATCCTATATTGACTAGGATCTTATAATCGAGGAAGTATCAGATGATGGAGGCTTGTGGCAATATTATGACTTGAATCCATGAGGAGTTTAGGACAATGAGATGAGCAAAACATTCTTACAACAATTGGTGGGATGAGTTAAGTTGGGAAGGAATTTGTCCCTCCCCAGGTGAAACCTTTTGTTTTGCCCCTCAGGGTTTTAAAGAACTAGGATATCTTTAGCTGATCTAATCTTGCCCTTGAGTGTCCCAGCATCACAGGACCATTTGCGCCTCACATGTGAGCTGTGAGCTTTGAGTTCTTACAAGAGGCAAAACAGAGCTATGTTTCCACATGCCATACCTGGCCCACAGGCAAGAAGACTAGGTCTCAGATAGCCCTAATTATAATTTAATTGTGAAATTAAATTTCCCCGAAATGATATAGAATGGCTGCCAACCAAAGGCAGCCTGAACTACACAGCAAGATCTTGTCTTAAAAAGAAAGAAGAGCCAGGGATTTGGCTCAGTGTTTCTGGTGCCTGCCTTGCAAGCCCAAAGACCTGAGAGTTGGTGGGGGGGGAGTGCGAGCACAGTGTAAATATCCCATAACAAATGCTAGAGAGCCTTGGGGCTAGGGGAAAAATGCTTCCTCATTGTTTGTTGGTGGGAATATAAACTGGTAAAATCAGTATGTCAGTATAGAGATTCCTCAAAAAACTAAAAATAGAAATTCCATTTGACCAGCTAGTCCTCCTCTAGATATTTTGAAAAGAAATAAATGTCATATTACAGTAATACATGCATACTCATGTTTATAACAGCACATCATAATAGCTAAATCTTGGAAGCAGCCTATATGTCCTTCAATAGATGATTGGATTAAGAAAATCTGTTTATACACAGTAGAGTACTACTCTGCCATAAAATGATAAGTCATTTGTAGGAAAATGGGTGCACTTTGAGATCGTAATGTTAAGTGAACTCAGACACACAGACTTGAATATTGCATGGTTTCTCTTGTGAAAAATAAACAATGTATCTAAAAAATGTACCTTGATTTACTATAGTTGTTTTATATGTTTTTTGGCCTGTTTGGCAAATGTTAATCCATGTTTCTGATAATTAAATTGATAAATATTTGAAAGTAAATATATCTGATGCTAGCAAAAAAAAAAAAAAAATGCTAAATACATCAACAGGTTTTGTTTTTGTTTTTTTAACCCAGAGCCTCACACAACCTAGGTAAGTATTCTATTGCTGAGCCACATTTGTAGCCCATGGAATATTTTTATATTAAAACAACCGTACAGGGCCAGGGATTTAGCTCAGTAGTTCTGCCGCCTGCCTTGCCAACGCAAGGACCCGAGTTCCATCCCTGGTACCAAAACAAAACAAAACACCATACATTATGTACATATAGGCTACTGCTAACCCTAAGTGTCTGAGCATCTAAGCTTAGTCTTGCTACCAAAATATTAGACAGTTTTTTCAGTGCTAATCCCTGGCCCACATTTTCTGACATCGTCTTTGATCTCCTTTTTCAGAGTATTATAGTTTTGATCATGAAGATCTTTCACTCCTTGGTTAAGGTTAATTCCTTAGTATTTCATTTTTCTTGATGATACTGTAAAAGGCATTGTTTCCCTGATTTCTCTCTAGTTTTTACTGGTGTGAGAGAACACTATTGATGTTTTGAATGTTGACTTTGTATCCTGCTGAGCTACTCAATTAGATTATTAACTGTAAGAGTCTTTTGGAGAAGTTTTAGGGATCCTCTGTAGAGGATCAAATCACCTACAAGTAATGTTGAATTTCTTCCTTCCATATTCATACTCTTTTTATTTCTTTCTCTTGCCAAATTCCTCTGTCTAATTTTTTTTGTTGTTGTTGTTTTTTGAGACACTCTCTCACTATGTAGTGGAGACTGACCTGGAACTCACTATGTAGCCCAGACTGGTCTCGAACTCAACAGTCCTCCTGCCTCAGTCTCCCGAGTGCTGGGATTACAGGTGTGCGCCACCACACCTGGCTTTTAATGTTTCTAGAACTATATTGAACAGGAGTGGTGACAGTGGACATCCTTGTCTTCTTTCTGATTTTAGAGAGAATGCTTTCAGCTCCTCTTATTTAATATGACGTGTATATGGCTTTTATGAGACTGAGATAAAAACCTCTTATCTATTTTCTTCAGGAAAATAGTTCAAGGTTTCAGATATTTCATCTTGCATTCCCCCATTCCCAACCCCCTATATCTTTAATAGTCTAACCATAAAGCTTTATTATCTTTAGACTTCTGGTTCCTTGAGTTTAATGTGGTGCAGAGAGGTCCTCTTTTGGTCCTGGCTATTTGTAGTTCTGTATCCCTCACTTATCTGTTTATTTCTTTCTCTATGTTTGGGAAGCTTTCTGCCATTATTTCTGTGAATAAGTTTTTTATGCCATTTGTGTTGTTTTCTGATTTTTCATTCATTCTGATTACTCTTAGATTAGTCTTTGTATCATCTAGCGTCTTCTGTTGAATCCATTTTTCATGTTTGTTTGTTGCATTTAAGATGTCCTTGAATAGTTGGTCTTTGAAGGCATCATTTTCTTTCAATGGTGAAATTTTGTCCTGTCACTTGTTGATTCTACTGCCCATACTTTTATTTATTTTTTATCTTTGGTGGTACCATGGATCAAACTCAGGACTTTGCGCTTTCGAGGCAGGCAGCAGCACCACTAAGCTAAATCCCTGGCCCTTCAATATAATTCTTTTGGGGGGATACCAGGTTTTGAACTCGGGTCCTTGCGCTTGCAAGGCAGGTGGCAGAACCACTGAGCTAAATCCCCAGCCCCATCTTCAATATAATTTTTTAATCTCTGGAATTTCTGATTGAAATCCTTTCATGGATTCTTAATTCTTTGCTAGGCTGGTCATTCATGTTTTATATCATTTTGTATAGCTCAGCTAGCTTTTTATTACTGTCTTCTGAAAGTTCCTGGATCATTTTGGCTATTACTTTCATTATATGCTTAGTTGTGTCTTCTGTGATCCCACTAAGTTACTCTTTATCTAAACCCCTCTGTTGTCATTTCAAATAATTCAGGCTTGTGGCCTATGCTATGCTATTCTCCCTCTTAAAGCTTTGGAGGAGTTGAGAGATTTGGGAGGTGTTTTGTTCCATTTCTTAAGTTTCTATTGTTTTTATGTTTGTTGTTTGTTTGTTTCATTTTGCGCTGAGGTTTTTGGTGGATTAGAATCTAAAGATTTTTTTGGTACTCAGAGATCTCTTTAGTTGTTTTTTAGTGATGAATTTGTATGTGGCTAACAATAGTCCTTTGTCTCAGTCCCAAAATCTGGCCACTGCAGTTAATTCAGGATTGAGGCCCCACACCCACGTTCTCTGGGAATGTACTATATAATATCATTAATGTCACAATGGTAAGCTGGGTATTGGCTTACAGAGAAAACATTAATAGCAACAATTAATGAAACCCTGATAATGTCAAGGAAATCAGCTACAGTAGTATTGTCTAAGACAGTTTGTATATTACCATATCATGAGAGCTAATAATGGAAGAAAAAAAGAACCAGTATGTACTACCCTTAACCCTAAAGAAGAAATCCACAATTATAATGTAAATATGAAGACAACCTAAGTATTGACTTCTAGGTATTGTGTACTAAATGTGACAGGTATAGCTCCACTAATGATGGAGGATTCAAGTTATTTCATAGTTACTATCTCAAGATAAACAAGGCTTTATAGTTATACTATTAAAAATAGGAGGGGTTGGGGCCGGGGATTTAGCTCAGTGGCACCGCACCTGCCTTGCAAGCACAAGGTTCTGAGTTTGATCCCTAAAAAAAAAAAAAAAAAAAATGTTTTTTTTATGTAGGGTTGGGAATGGAGGAATGTGAGAGGAAATATGTGAAACCTTAAACTATATGATATGAAAAGGAGGAAAGAGAAATGGAAGAAACAAAGATAAAGGAACCCTAATAAACTGGTAAAGATGAAGAAGAAAAAAGAAAACCAAAAAAGAAAAAATCATTATATACAAAAGAAATTTCTTTGTGATATTCTTTTTTTTTTTTTTTTTTTTGGTTTTTGAGACAGGGTCTCACTATGTAGTTGAATCTGACCTGGAACTCACTATGTAGCTCAGGCTGGTCTCAAACTCACAGCGATCCTCCTGCCTCAGCCTCCCGAGTGCTGGGATTACAGGTCTTTGTGATTTTCAATGTGTGATTTTCTTCCAGGATCTACGATTTTGGAGCAATGTCTAAATCAAGATGTGTCTCTGCTCATGCTGGTTGACAAAGGAGGCAGTCAGACCCCAAATCAGAGCTAGATACAGTCAGTCACTAACACAATGAGAGCAGGGTGAGGGCCAGATTACTACGACTTTCAAATCTAAAGCAACTGAGGTTGGGCCAGACCTCTGGCCATAGGGGCTGGGATTGTGTCCTTAGCTCAAACCCCCCCAGGGACCATTTTCCAGCCCACTCTTACACTGTGGCTCTTACCCAGTCACTGTAAGAATGTAACACTGAAAGCCCTGAAGTGAATCTGTCCCATGACTGCACTGAGTTCCAGATTCAAACAATCAGCTCTTCCTGGAATGGCGCCTGACCAAGCACTCTCTCTAGGGATAATGGTGGACGCTTATAGTAGCGTCACTCACCAGCTACTGCTTGTCACAGGGCTTATAGGGAAGCAGAAACCCACACTCCCTGTAGCTCACAGCACCCTTCAGTCCATTCTGCCACTGTGCGTCTCCCTGAGACCAACTGGAGTGCCCCGCTTTCACTGTATCTCTGTAGGTTCAATCTCCCTTTCCTGTGCACTGTAAGCCAGGAGCTAACGAGAAATTGCACACTGTCTCCTCCCTTCTCCCTGTTGTATTCTGTCTCTTCATTTCCTCTGTAGGTTTTAATTTTCCTGTCATATCCTTCCTGGTTCTCTAAGATTACATGTCTCTTTTTTTCTTCTCTACATTGTTCTTTTTCTATTTCCGGATTCCTAATTTTGGAGAGGCTGTTGTTGTCACTCACTGCTCACCATTTCCCCCTTTTAGCTATTCTTGATCCTTTTAACCTTAGGTAACATCTTGCTGCTAAAAACCAAAATAGAATTTCTCAACACTTTAAGTCAGAAGAATAAAATTTATTTTATTTTATTTTTATATTTTGGTACTGGGGATTGAACTCAGGTCCTTGCGCTTGCAAGGCAGGCCACTGAACACTGAGCTAAATCCCCAGCCCCAAGAAGAATAAAATTTTAAATTGCCATTTCCTCAACTTCTCTGGCCTCTCTCTTTCTTTCTTTCTTTCTTTCTCTTTCTTTCTTTCTTTCTTTCTTTCTTTCTTTCTTTTTCTTTTTTTTTTTTTTGGTAGAGTTAAGGGAAGTACACTTGTGAGGTCTTCCTTTTCTGCTTAAAAGAGACTACACTTCTGCATTTGGGACTCTCTGTATTCAAAAGGTTGATGTAGGGATATATTTTTCCCTCCTAAATGTGGGATTGTAGTCGTAATCATGACCTTGGGATTAAGAATTACCAAGAAAAAATCATTACTAATGGGTTTCTTAAATGTTCATTAATTACAAATAAACTTCAGGAACATGAGCTGCAAGTAATGCCTTTTATTAAATTTATTGTTTTCTAAACTATAACTTACTCATTCCACGTATTTTTAAATGCCTCTTATACACTAAGCACTATTTTTTAGCTTTGGGATTTATAATAACTCAAATGGAGATGGACCTACCTTCACGGTACTAATAGTCTTCTAGGTTCTGTAGTAAACCTAGAAACATCAAGCTGTAGGATTTAGGACAGATTTCTTAGAGAAGTAACAGCTGAACTGTGACTTTTGCCTATGGTTCATGTTATGGGGAAAGTTATTGAGAATTAAATGTATCCAGTTGTCTGTCTAGACTAGAAAGTGAAAGATGATCAGAAAGTAGTATCAGTTATGCTGGTAGACAGAGGCTCACAAATCAAAATGGGATTTATATTTCTTTGGCAGTTTTTAGCCCAAACCATTGGTGCTCCCAGTTTGAAGGTAGATAATGAACTTCTGGTTGTAAGACAACTGTATTCTTAGCAAAAGTTCATTTCTCTACTTGTTTAATTCTTTAGGTGACTACTTTATAGATTGACTTAAAATGCAAACATTCTAAAAAAGAGAAAATGGAGTAAATTGAACTTAGTGTACTTTAGATTCCCCTTTGTGTTTTTGATTTTTTTTTTTTTATTTATTTTTTTCTTTTTTGGTACCAGGATCGAACTTGGGTCCTTGTGCTTGTGAGGCAGGCGATGGAACCATTGAGCTAAATCTCCGGCCCCTGAATTTAGTATACTTTAATAAGTCTACACTCATTTTTAATCCTTTCTTTTCCTTCACTACAATAGCCATTTACTAGGTAGCAATTGTTGAAAAAGATGCTATCATAAAAATACAATTTAATATAAACTTAAAATGAAAACCTTTTGCTTCCAACTATCAGATGATTGTTTTAATGTATGCCTACTTAGCTTCATGGAACATTAACCTTTAAAGTCATACGTAGCTAACTGGTCCCTTTTTTATTCACAGAGTTGTGGCTCTGAATTCACACAAGTCCGAAAAAAAGAAGAAACGTTATAAAGATTCTTGTGCTCTCGCTGCCATGATAAGAAAGTTTCAAAAGGAGAAGGATGCATTAAAAAAGGAGTTTAACCCCAGAGTCCCAGGGACTTTGTCGACCTCCTCTCTGACTAAGCCTCCCTCTACTGCCACTGCACTGGGGAATGATGTTTCAGAATTAAATCTGAATAGCGCTGATCCAGATCTCCCCATTTTTGTTAGCACAAATGAGCATGAACTGTTTCAGGAAGCTGAAAATGCCCTAGAGATGCTAGATAATTTGGACTTTGACAGATTACTGGATGCTGCTTCTAATGGTAGCCCCCTGTCTGAGTCAGGGGGAGAAAATGGAAACACCCCTCAGCCAACCTTCACCTCTCAGATCATGCCTAAGGTGATACCTACACTCCCAGAGGGTCTGCCTGTACTTCTGGAAAAACGCATTGAGGACCTCCGTGTAGTAAGTGTGACAGTTCTCTTGGTTCTTACTTGCTGCAAAACAACAAATGCTGCTGCTTGTTCTTATTGCCCTCCTCCTTCTTCCCTTCCTCCTACCCCTCCCTGTTCCTCTTTCCCCATCCCCTTCATCTTCCTTCCACTTCACCCCTTTCCTGCTCCTCCAGTCTTAAGCTTTAAATATCTAAATAGGAGAGCAAGAGATATATCTAATTTTTCCAACAATTGGCTCTTGACTTTTATTCATTGATTTTGTTCTTTTGTTGTTTATATTTTTTCTGAGGTAGAACCAGTAAGTTCCTCTGTATTTATTTTGGTTTTTTGTTTATTTATTTTTTCAGTGCCAGCAATCATACTCAGGACCTTGTGCTTGTGAGGCGGGCATGGCGCCACTGAGCTAAATCTCTAGCACTCCTCTGTATTTATTTTGATATCTACTTCAGCAGTCCAGGATTTAGAAAAAGTATTTTAAGTATCTCATTGCTAGTATTTTATTTATAACCTATGTTTGCTGTCATTTTTGTTGTTTCTGAGCTGTTCGATTCATAAGATTTTTAAGACTGTCTTTATTCTGATTATCATTTAAGATGATCCATTTGTCATGTTCATATTTTTGTTACTTATTGCATGTTTGGTTTTTAACTTCCTCTTGGAGATTCCAAATCTACTAATTTTTTTTGTAGACCATATTTAAGTTTCTCGTCCCCACCCCCTTCCACCTATGTATCAGCTGTACATTTCAGCAGGATCGTTGGCTGTATTCTAGTCAGCAATAGTAATAGAATTCTGTAGTCCGTATTATAATACTTTTGACAGTGACTCCATAATTTAGGATTATAGTCATGGAGTCTGTCTCTAAGGGTCAAGTTAGATAGCTTACCAAATTCTTTTGCCTACTTACAGAAGTTTGCATCTTCAACTTGAATTGATCACATTATTTGAACTGCATAAAAACCCGTAATCTTGATGGAAATTGACCTTTTCTCCCATATTCTTAGAATCACCTATCTGTGATAGACTAAAGGATGGTTCCCAAAAGATGCCCATATTTCTAATCACTAGAACATGTATGATACCCTTTACAACAACAACAAAAAGGATGGAAGTTACTGTAGGTGTAATTATGTTAAGGATCTTTTTTTTTTTTTTTTTTTTTTTTTTTTTTTTTTTTTTTTTTTTTTTTGTGGTACCGGGGATTGAACTCAGGTCCTTGCACTTGTGAGGCAGGCCACCGAAACGCTGAGCTAAATCCCTGGCCCATATGTTAAGGATCTTGAGAGGATTCTGTAGTGGACCCAAAATACAGTTCCTTGCATCCTTAGAAGAGATGGGGGAGGGTGATGTGTAAAGAGGAGAAGTCCTGTGGAGGCCAAGTTAAAGGGGTCTGGGAGCGCTGCAGCTGCAGCCAGGAGCTGAGAGAGCATGGACTGTGCTCCCTGCTGTAAATGTGGTGGCTTAAATCAGCAGAGTCCGAAGTCATTTTGTTGGGCTGGAAACTGTTAGCAGGCTGTAGTCCCCCAAGAGACAGGCGTGCTCTCACCAGAGCTGTTCCAGGCTTCTGTGTTTGCAGGAGATGCAGCAAACTGAGTGTCTCCTTCTTGAACTTGGCTCTTAGTCGTCTCTGCCTGAGTCACAGCTTATGTGTATTGTGCTGACTTGAAGTTCTTTGTCTGTCTCCCACCCTCCACCCCACCCCATCAACTCAGGTCCTTACTCTCTCTTTTTTGTTTTGTTTTGTTTTTTGTTTTTTTTTGAGACAGGTTCTCACTATGTAGTTGAGACCGACCTGGAACTCACCATGTAGTCCAGGCTGGTCTCAAACTCACAGCAATCCTCCTGCCTCAGCCTCCCGAGTGCGGGATTACAGGCGTGCGCAACCACGCCTGGCCACTCTCTCTTTTTAATTAATTCATTCAGAGTAATTTTTTCTTGAGTTTTATTGATAGTCCTTCTTACGTTTCTCTAGGCTGCCAAACTTTTTGATGAAGAAGGAAGGAAAAAATTCTTTACACAGGATATGAATAATATTCTTCTGGAGTAAGTAATCTTCTTTTCTCTTGTTACTTTCTTTTCAGGGTGGGAGGGGAGCAGTACTGGCAAACCCAAGAACTTCGTGCTGAACTACATCCCCAGGTCTCCTGCCCCTTTTTTGGAGACAAGGTCTGATTAAGTCACTTGTTGCCTGGACTAAATTCAAACTTGGAATCTTCTTGCCTCACCCATCCAGAGTGTTGGGATTACAGTTGTCCAGTACCAGTTGGCCTTAATTTTTTTCTTTTATTAAAAAAACCTGAAGAATCGCTCAGTTAAAAATATAGTAATCATGAGATCCAGATGCTGAGTGCATGCCTGGTTCAAGCACCAGCTTTTCCGTCTCAGCCTTTGCTTCATGCGTGATTTAACATTTACTTCTCACCAAAATAATGCTTCTGTAGATATGGACCACTTAATGATAACCAAATCTTCTGGGAAGATGACAGAAGTTAGATTGAGAAAGAGAGGTAAAGGTTGATATATGATACAGATTTTTTTTTAATTAGCAGATTTTGCATCTTAGTAATAATTTTGCACTCAAGTAGATGCTAATGAAGCTGTGGGTTCTAAGGTTGTAGGCAAAGAAGCTGTACTTATTACTGTTGGCTCACAGATTTTAACCACTGGCAACATGAATTCAGTATACAATTGGCTGTGGGCCACGCCAAGCAAAAAAGTGGTCATGGGAAAAAGCAGCACTTGTATTCTTCAGATGAAAACCACCTAATAGGGTGGTTCATTGCATTAGATAGACTCAGGGAAGGAATGTTACTAAGATTGTGGTTCCTGTCTGGTACATACTCATGAGTAAAAATGACAGATTGGTTCATTAATTCTGATTACTGTTTGTAATTAATTGCAGTCAATCATCTTGAACTCAGAAGACATAGAATGTAGTATGTTTCTAGTGTGCTGGCAGAGGATTTCTCATTCCTGCTCATCTTTACATTAGACAGGCAGTTTCAGGTGGGCTATGTCTAACTGGGAACCAGGCAAATGCTTCCTGTCTGTACTGCTGCCTTTTACCATGCCTCCTTTCTGCCCCAGACTCAACAAACAGTGCAGTTGTTGCTCATCAGAACTGTCCCAGATTCCACAGCAGCGATCTAACTAGCTCTTTTTCTTTCCACCTGAGACCACTACATGTACTAAATCAGCTCTTCCTCTTGTGATGACTGAGTTTTGTGGTGTTCTGTTTTGTTTTTTCCTTCTCTGTAAAAGAGAACACTCTTTCTCCCTGAGAGAGTCTAGCCCCATCCTTGGCATATATCCTTTCGGATAAACAGACTGTCCACCTCCTGTCAGCAGGCTCTGCTCACTCTCCCAGCATCTGTTGTGAAACATGTCCTTGAGTTCTGAGGCCCTGTCCACATTCTGTTTCATGGAAGTGTGGCTACAGCTCTCAAGCCCTTAGGGTTAGAGGTGATTTTTTTTTTCTTTGTCACTTTATTATTCTCTCTTCCCATTTTTACTTTATTTTCTTTTTCCACTTTCCTGAGCACATATGCCTTGCTTTTCTGGACTGAATTGCTTTTCTAAGGGCAAATGATGATTATTTGGGATAGAAAATTAAATTATCCAGGTAAATTGGGTCTGCCTTACCATTTTTTTCTTGTGTTTGAGAGAAAGAGACAGTTTATTGGAATAGGAAACCCTTTTTCTTTTTTTTGTATAATTGAATTGACCTCAGTCAACAAATGCACAGTGTTCTGCCTTTTCCCCTCCTTACCTGAAGCTGATAGATATTTCTGAAAAAGCATGTGTGTCGTCACTCATGATCCCAGTTGCCCTAACAGTTCTATTCAACATACTACTCTAGGCCTGCTGGGCACTTACAATGCGGCCTGCCTGTCCTCTCTGTTAAATGCTCCTTTACAGAGCTCATGAATAAGTAGTGACTTTGACTCTCAGTATAGAGGGACTTAACAGTTTCTTTTCAGGAAGTTGCCTCTTCCTATCTCTGAGTTACCTCTTTGGAAACCATTGGCTTTCATAAGCAGGTCATAATCAGTGTGTCCTTACCTGGGCTTTCTAAATACTTGGAGTTTCTATTTTATTTTCAGCCTTAACTAACTTCCAGTTATAAGGAAGCCTAGAAGGCTTTCTACGCAGAGTAGACTTTTAGTAAAAATCTAACCACATAACATTATCTAACCAAATTTTTCTCCAGAGCAGTAATGACCATAGTGATTGTTTCCATGTAACCATCTTGTTCTTAGAGGTTTTAGACTTCTTGCCATTTTTAATTTTCTCTTTAGCTTCTCTAGCACCAAGGATTTTCTTTTGCCGTTTCTAAGGAGCATAATTTTCCATTTTTCATTTTTTATGAAATGGCAATATGTCATAGAATTGAAGAACACAGAGTCAAACACAGTGGCACATGTCTATCATCCCAGCACTTGGGAGGCCTAGGCAGGTCAATCATGAGTTCAAGACTAGCTTCAACTACATAGCCTGGAATATAGAGTGAGTGAGACCCTGTCTCAAATAAATACATATATGCATACACACACACACACACACACTGACACATTTGATAGGATACATGTGAAACATTTGATATGATAGTGTTTCTTTTATTCCATTATTCTTTGGCCGTATCTTACATTTGTGAGACATACTTAAGTCTATCTGTATCCTCTCCCATAACAGAATAATATGATTTGGACATAATTCATTGCCAGGAGTCCCCATTTGATCTTGACCTTCAAATTAACATTTCTTCTTATCTTCCTATGATAGCAGCTGCCAGGTATAATGTCTCCCATCTAGAGAGACTCCTGTTATTTAGTATTAGGTTTGTCCTGCTGAGAACTAGGTAACTGTTATAAACTTTCCTGTTAGACTAAATAAATATTTAACAGTTTATTTTCTATCTCAGAAACCTAATTTATAAGAAGAAATGAGAACTAGAAAATTACAATATATTGAACAAACTATTAAAAATATAGCTTATGTAACACAGTTACCATAAGGACAAAGATGGATAAAATAATTTATATATACAGCAAAAGGACCTAAACCTTCTCTGAATCTTTGCTTTTTCAAATACCCCTAAGGAATACTGTAGGAACTCAGTGAAACTGTATGACTTTCACTTGCCAGCAGATAGAGGAATAGTATGGTATCTCTTTGAAGAGATGAGCATTTGGTTAAAATGGAATTCCTGTGCTTTACCTGAAAACACAGACTTTAAACCTGTCCAAAAATGCATTGTCAGTTTTTTTATGGTAACATAAATTCTGTTCTTAAGGTAGAATTTGGAGGGGAAGGAAGTAAAAGAGGAAGTAGAAAGAATTAAGATATCTATATACATGTACCAGATCCCCATGATGAATGTAATCATATACTGCAAACATGTACTAATAAAAATTTTTAAATTAAAAAGCTAGATTCATACACTATTTTCTACAGCATTACTGTTTTGTTTTGTTTTGTTTTGTTTTTTGGTACTGGGGATTGAACTTGGGTCCTTGCGCTTGCGAGGCAGGCCATCGAACCGCTGAGCTAAATTGCTGGCCCTCTACAGCGTTACTGTTTATGGCCAGGGAATTTATTTCTTTAAGAAATACTGTCTAGAAATCATAATATTTTTAAAAAATCAGCTGCTTTTCCTATCTTGCTTATGTGATGCTACCTAAAAGAAAGTATGTATTTATATTTGTTTTTGGTTTTGTTTTGATTTCTTGGTCAGCATCGAATTACAGCTGCAAGAGCTGGGCCCTGTCATCCGTAGCGGTGTTTACTCTCATCTTGAAGCTTTTGTGCCATGCAATAAAGAAACACTGGTAAAACGTCTAAAGAAGTTACATCTCAATGTCCAGGTATCTGAGGTTTTGTAACCTACAGAAGGAAGACAGTTGTTTCTCTTTGGTGCCTTTGCACATGAATTGCTTGATAGTATGTATGTATGTAGTTAGTAACCATAGGAAATTATTAGACATGTTGCATCCCCCGAAAAAGTTACTTCAACAATGGATAGGTTTATCCAAGATGTAGTGTTTCCTAAGGCATTGGACTGGTGAGTCAGTGGAGAAGGTGGGAGCTGACAAGCATAACTTTTATTTTCATTTGTTGTTGTTGTTTGTTTTTTAGTACTGGGGATCAAACTCAGGACCTTGCGCTCACAAGGAAACTAAATCCCTGGCACAACGATAGAATTCTTTATGTAGGCATTCACTTCTTTAAGAAAATACTTCTTCCCAACTGAGAAACTACAGGTTAATCAACAACTGAAATTTATTGCTGTCTTAGTTTTTGTGCTTTTGCTTGGCTACTTTAGACATTGGCAGTTGGAACTTGCTGCCATAAATTCAAATGACAGGGCCAGGTGTGATGGTGCATGCCTATTATCCCACACTTGGGAGGCTGAGGCAGGAAAGCAATACATTTTGAGATAGGATCTTGCTAAATTACCCAGGCTGGGTTCAAACTTGTGAGCCTCCTGCCTCAGCGTCCCAAAGTGCCAGGTTCATGGACATGAACCACTACACCCAGCTCTACATGGTTTTATCACATAGTTTATGACCCTGTCTAGTTTTGCATATTTGAGTTTTTTGTTTTTTTTCAGTGCAGGGGATTGAACCAGGACCTTGCCCATACTAGGAAAGCATTCTATCACTGAGCTCTGTCTCTGTCCCTTTTATTTTTTATTTTGAGGCAAGGTCTCACTGAGTTGCCTGGCCAGCCTTAAATTTGTAATTTTCCTGCTTCAGCCTCCCAAGTAGGCCTGGTGGCACAGTCCTATAATCCTAGCACTCAGGAGGCTGAGGCAGAAGACGCACTGCAAATTCAAGGCCAACCTGAACTACGTAGTGAGTTAAAGGCCAACTTGAATGGCAAGACTCTGTGTCAAAAATCCAAAAAGAAGGGTAGGGTAATATTATTATAGATGCCATTGTATTGGGCTGGGGATTTAGCTCAGTGGTTCTGCCACCTGCCTCACAAGCACAAGGACCTGAGTTCTGATCTCTGGTACCAAAAATAAATAAATGTAAATGTCTTTATAGATACAATTGTATTTGCTTAATATTTGTTAACATGGTTTAAATATTTGCTAGTAATAATATTTGTGTTTTAAAAATGTCTTACCAAAAAATCACACTTCAGGGCTTGGGGTAGAGTTTAGTGGTAGAATTCTTGCTCAGCCTACCCAAGGCCCTGGGTTCAATTCCCTGCACTATAAAAACAAAACAAAAACTTTGTTCCAGTGAAGAAAAGCAAAGCCTAACAATATTTATGTACCTATGATGGTGATAAAAGTATATTTAAATTAGTTACATGTATTACATTATTTGTAAAACAAAAATGAGTTGATTAGAACTGTCCAATAGAAATCTTTTTACCTTAGACCCTTATGGATGAGTCTTCCAGTTTCCTTTTTCACTTTGGCCTTCAGCTTACATATTTGCTTGCAACATAAGTCACAGTGACAACTCCCAGGAAAACAGGATGCCAGCATCCTGCTGGTAGCTGCCCATCCCAATTCACACATTCCAGGATCCCAGAGTAGCATTTTCGTTAGGTATTTCTTCCCTATCATAGGATTAACCTGTAGTCTGCACAATGCAGATTTTCTTCTCCATTTAATCGTTTGTATTATAAGGTGTCATATAACGTAGTGGTTAAAACATGGGCCTTGTTCAAGAATATAAAGAAACCTTACTAATAATCATGCTAGGGCAGCAGGCAACCACTGGGGCTCCTTGGCTGTGAAATATGATCATCATAATTTTAGATTCAGTGTACATTATGCAGTCAGGGCCGCAGAAGAAATGTCCACATTTAGATAGCTAATATTTCATGGAGATTTCCTCCAGTTTTCCACTCTGTCAGCCGAGCTATCGAAGGGAACATGATAGCTAACATTTCAAATTTGTACTCAATATCTGAAACATAAATTGTATCCTTTGAGAGTCTGTTTATAGAATAAATTTTGTTCAGATTATGAAAAAACCTGGTAATATTATTTTTCCTCAGGATGATCGGTTAAGAGAACCTCTGCAGAAACTGAAACTGGCTGTTAGCAATGTCATGCCTGAACAGCTGTTTAAATACCAGGAAGACTGCCAGGCGCGTAGTCAAGCTAAGTGTGCCAAGTATGTGCTGCTTCTGTCTGGGTGGGCTTTGACGTTTGAGAATACACCTAGCTGTTAGAGGTCATTTGTAAGTGGGCCTCATCCTCAAGTAGAAATCCATAGACACAACTCAAATGATAAATGGAACATTTTCTAAATGACATATTACTTCCCACTCAGTTACTTTGGTTTCAAAGGCAAAAGACTTTGACTGTTGATTTAGTGCATGGATGTGATTCAAGCAAGAGCCAGCAATGGTAGAACTTTTCACGTACTGAACAACTTGACTAGCTTGGGCTAGACACAAATATTTTGAACCAAAAGATGACTGACTGTGCCTTTTATGATAGTTTAAAGATCTTTTACAAAGCAGCTTCACAATTCATTCCAACTTCGAAGTATTATGTGGAGAGAGAGCTTCTCCATTACTCCTGTCTTTTGAGCTAACGTTCATCTAAGAAAGTCAGCAAGTATTTATGGAGCATATTATAGGAAGTGTTGGGTTAAAACTTCCCTTCCTAAAATATTTTTTAGGTTACAAACAGATGAAGAGCGAGAAAAAAATGGATCAGAGGAAGATGATGATGAGAAACCAGGGAAACGAGTCATAGGACCAAGAAAAAAATTCCACTGGGATGATACCATTAGGTAAGGTATAGGTAGTCTTTGTCTGTAACAAAGTACTCAATGCAGAGGTATAGTTTTATGAAAAAAATTGGTGAACGGGAGGAGCTAAATTGCAAGGGACCAAAGATTAGTGTTTAGGAAAAATTTATTCTAGTGAACATTAATTTGGTTCTAATATCTGTCCTTAGCGTTATCACTTTTATTTTCATATAATTTTTTTTTTTTTTTTTTTTTTTTAATGGTACCGGGGATTGAACTGGGTCCTTGCGCTTGCAAGGCAGGCCACTGAACCACTGAGCTAAATCCCCAGCCCCATATAATACTTCTTATACACTAATCTAATAATGGAATAAGTCATTTTGGTTTCCAAAGGAAAGGCACTGCATATCTTTGTATAAATAATCTATCTTTCTTACCAGTGTTTCTATAACCCACATAGATAATTACCCTTTCAGTCTTTGGTACACTGCATAAAAGTATCAATGGAATTTGATTCCTGTTGGGAGGTCTGTAGTTCAATGAATAATGCTAGAAATTATTTACCTTGGTAATATTCTGTATTACTGCTGTCAAGATTTGTGTGCTTATTTAAAAATTGTTTCAAACTCAATTTTTCTCAGTGTTATAGTCATATTTACATAAAAATATAAATTATCTAAAAATTACATAAATTGTACATATAAATTTTTTATATTTTAAACTCTTTTTAGATCCTTGTTGTGTAACCTGGTTGAGATCAAATTGGGATGTTATGAGTTAGAGCCAAATAAAAGCCAGTCTGCTGAGGATTATCTTAAATCCTTCATGGAGACAGAGGTGAAGCCCTTGTGGCCTAAGGGCTGGATGCAGGCAAGGTAAGAAAGGTGACTTCCTGGATTCTGTTTTTTGCTAAGAAGTTAATGTGTTCAACATCCTATACAGTATCTCAAATGTCCTCTGCTTTGCAAAACTAAAAGCACTTTAAAAGGCAAAACAGGGCGGGGAATTTAGCTCAGTGGTGCCGCCTGCCTCCCAAGGGCAAGGTCCTGAGTTCAATCCCCGTACAAAAGAAAAAAAAAAAAAAAGAAAAAAGGCAAAACAATTAGTCCTGTGGACATAAAGATAGAGACATCAAGGTAGTTGCACCTGGTGATGGACACTTGTAGTACTAGCCCTCAGGGAGCTTGAGGCAGGAGAGTCCAAGTTGGAGCCCAGCCTGGGAATTTTTGTGATTTGGTGAGACTCTGTCTCAGAGATCAGTTCTTTACTACTTTTTCTTTTTGAATTTATAAGTAGAGAAAGGGGGAGAAGAAAAGATGGTTATAAACTTTAGGGAATAATGTGTAGATAAGGAACTTAATACAGGATTTAGAGCATGAAAAAGAAAGGCAGCCTTAGGTTCTATAGAATATAGTATGTACAGTGTCTCAAATGAGCAGTAGTCCTATTTAAAGTCTCAAGAGTTTTAAAAGTGTGAAAATTAATAAACTTGGCTATTTTAACCTATCATCTTAAAAGTCCTGCATCTTAAATCAACAGAAAGTATCTTTTCTGTTCATCTGTTAAAATTTTTAAATAGAAGAATATAAAACTCTCCATAAATTATGTTGAATGTACTGTACCATTATACCCTTTACTTGGTAAGAAATAGCCTATTAAAAATCAAATGATTTTTGGGCCAGGTATGATGGCGCACGCCTGTAATCCCAGCATTCGGGAGGCTGAGGCAGGAGGATCGCTGTGAGTTTGAGACCAGCCTGGGCTACACAGTGAGTTCCTGGTCAGTCTCAACTACATAGTGAGACCCTGTCTCTAAAAAACCAAAAAAAAAAAAAAAAAAAGTAAAGTAGTTATCATGTTCTTACCTACTATAAAAGATAATTTTTTCCTTTTAATTTTTCAGAATGCTTTTTAAGGAAAGCCGAAGTGTACATAATCATCTTACTTCTGCTCCGTGAGTAAATGCAGACTACATATTTCTTCATTTATATTCACATTACAGCTTTAGTAAACAAAAATATCATGTATCAAGTGCTAGTTGAAGTAGGATTTGAACATACACTTAGGGAATATTCATTTTCTAAAAATCATTGACTCTTGGCTGTCAGAGCACATCTGTTGAAATAATTCTCAGGCTCTTCTCCCAAATCTCCTCAATGCAGAAGGAACCACCTGGGTTCTGGTGTAGGGAACTGTGGAAGCAAGCAGGTCCCATGTTTCCCTTTGTTGTTGGGCCTCTAGCCCTCCATTGTTTGTTGAGCTCTTAGTGACCATCTGCCTAGATGACCTATAGTCATCTCCTGCCCTGAGTTCTCCAGGACTTTTCCAAACCTACCTGCCTTGGCCTGGGGAAACATGTTAATCTATAAAAATAACCTATTCTTGCCTTATCTCCTTTTGTCAAAACTGGATGTTTTGTTAGTAAAATGAATTTTCTTTCCTTTCTGTGCTGAAGTTTAAATCCAGGACCTAGCACTTACTAGGCAAGTACTCTACCTCCAGCCCAGTGAACTGAAAGAAAGATCTCATCTTCTGGGTGTATAGTGAAAAGGGCAATTTTGTCTGTTGTTGGGTTTTTTTGGTGACTGTTGGCCAACTCCACAGTTTTATTTGTACTCACAAATTAGAACTACTTTTCAATGCCCTGCAACTATAGCATTAAAGAATTATTAAAATATAAAACTGTTGGGCCTGGGGATGTAGCTCAGTGGTACTATACCTCCCTGGCAAGCACAAGGTCCTGAGTTCAGTCCACAATACCAGAAAAAACAATGTACTAAGAAAATTGAGTTACTAAGAATTTCAAGTGCTCTAATTCAGTGTTTTGCTAAGGTATTTGATAAATATATTTTGGGTGACACTACAAAATTTCCAGAGGGAGGGAGGAGAATGGGGAGGAAAGGGGGAATAAAAAGAATTAAGATGCATGTACCTACTCCCTAAGATGAATACAAACATGTACTAATAAAAATTTTTTTGGGGGGGTGCAGTTACCATGGATCAAACTCCAATGCTTGGGCTTGAAAGGCAGGTGGCGGAACCTCAGAGCTAAATCCCAGCCCATAAAATACATTAATTCCTTTTTTCATACATACTTTTTTTCTTTTTTTTTTTTTACATTAACCTTATGGTACATTTCAGGTAAACAATTCATCATTGGGCTCTGGTACCTTTACATGGTGTAATAAACTTTTTTTTTTTTTCCCCCTGTTTTGGCACCAGGGATCAAACTCAGGACCTCGCACTTGCCAGGCAGTTGCTGTGCTGCTGAGCTAACATATATACTTATAGTAGATGAAATGTTTTAGTTTTTAGGAAGGGTGTACCATCAAGGATCTGTTGAATTGATTGTGGCTTTCAGTTCTTATTCTTCTTTTATTTGTGTTTGTTTTTGAGATTGGGTTTCACATTACTCAGGTTAGTCTTGAACTCCTGGGCTCTGTTGATTCTCCCATCTCCAGAATAATTGGGACTACAGGCATGAACCACTGTGCCTGGCTTTTTATTCTTGGTTTTTTTAGGGTAGTTTGGTTTCATACATTGTAGGTTTACTTTACTGCAAGAAGTTGTATGTGTGTGTTTATGTCAATATTTATGACCTTTAATTTTCCTGAAATTCTAAAGCTACATATGCATTATAATTCAAGTGTGAATAATTTATGCTTTTAATCCTAAAAGTGTTTATATAGGATGTTTCCCTCAGGTTTTTTTGTTTGTTTGTTTCCCCTTTAGTAGCTGGGACTGCAGGTGCATGCCACTACACCTAGTTCCCCTCAGCTTACAGCCTCATCAGTTGTGGTGATGCACACTTGTAATCGCAGCACTTGGGAAGCTGAGGCAGGAGGATTGCCATTTGATCAAGGCCAACCTGGGTTATAGTGAGTTTAAGGCCAGCCTGAATTACTACATAGTGAAACCCTATCTCAAAAAACAAAATAAAACCGAACAACAGAGTCCAACAACAACAACAATAATTAAAAAAACCCAGCTTTGTTGTGATAACTAATTTTTTTTTAAATTTTGTGCTAGAATATTGCAATAGGTACTCATGAGGGGGGTCTTTTGCTCTACTGGCCTTTACTAAAAAAATGTTGAAATTTGCTGGTTGCCTTTTTTATCAGAACATGTTTGAGGTAGATAATGACTGCAGTAACTATAGAGTTGGTACCAATACATAACACATCTTAACTCTTTTTTTCCCCCATCTTCTATCTTTCCCCTCCCTCTCTGATCTTCCAAGTCTTGGTCCCTTTCCATTTGCAAAAGCTCCATTTTCATCATTTTTTCCCTTTAATTCTGTTTCTGTGCCTTCCTTTCCTGCCCTCTACACCTCTTGTTCCCCCATCTGTTTGAGAAAAATATCCCTACTTCCTATTTGTCTTCCATTTTGAGATATATATATATTATATATATAT